TTCCATGCAAGCTGAGATAGACCCGGCCCAGGGATCTGTTTTGACAAAGAGCCATCACTTTAGAATTTTGTCCCATTTGATAATTCTAAGAATGACAGCAACAGCAGCACCGCACAAACCAAAAGTAACCACAAATTTCATTACAAATGAGAAGTTCGTACTTGGTTTTGATTCAATCTGGCGCGTTTGCATGGGATGAAAAACATTAATRTACATATTGTTAATATTGRTTTTCGCTCTTTGGGGGCACGCCCCTGGACCATGGATACGATACTGGGCTGGATGATGAGGTCCAAAGTAACACTTCAACGCCAACACAGGATCAGTGGTGAGTAGATGCCATAGATTGGGTCTACAGCCAATGAATGATGCTATTTCGTCCTGGTACAAGAGGCCATTTTCCTGTATTAAAAATATGCTGTATAAATATGACATATAATATAACAATGTGTGAAATAGTTACTCTTCGAAATGCTGGTAAAGTGGGACGACTGGGGCAGATGCAGGATATTTTTCAAGAAGGTAATAAGTCACCGAGGTAYAACTAGAGGCTGGGATGCACCCTTTAAGAATGGTTACAATAACGACACAAAATAGTTCCTTCATCTGGACCCTCCCTGCTAAGGACGTCAAAATAAACATAAAGACTTTGCCATAACAATAGTCCTAGCCGCWCTTTCTTGCGATCATTAAATAAAGAGATGATTAAAATCAGATAAAGGAGTTATATGACAGTGCTACGGYCAACCTAGAAATATTGAAAGTAATTCCCATAGATTCGTACCACTAGTGCATGCCTTGGTGTGTTATCAAAAGATTCTTTKATWCGCTTTCTTTTCTTCAATATATCTTTCCACATTTCATCTGGAGAAGGTAACTTCACCAAACCTTTAAGAACACGAGTCACCCAACGCGCTTGGATTTCAAATGTAGGATTCATCGATCCWTKGATTGTCACATAACCAATGAATGCTAAAGTATGGTCAATATCGTCTGGAGGGAAGACAAACTTGTACAGATCGAGTTCATTGTTTTCTTTRGAGGRAATAATTGATTTGTCAAGAAAGCTCAATCCGATTTTGTAGCCGGTACAAAATATCACAGCGTCCACGTGACTAAGTTCTACACCATCAGAGAARACTACRCCATGTTCTGTAAAATGGTCGATGTTTGGTTTAATGGTGAGTTTACCAGTGGTAATTCGAGGGATGATATCTTCGTTCGTAATAAAAGCGCCATTCCAGTATCCTCCTTGGGGCTTGAGTCCGTAACAATTGTAGTCGATATTTTGAATATGAAACCATCCAAACAGACGATACCTGTAATTAATGAATCATCAAGGCTTTATAGCACTATAGTGGCTCATCGGAGACACGGGGAAATTGTTTTAGGCATGAAGCACATGTTATCAGTGAGCAGTCCACTTTCATATATATAAGCACCGTGCCCCACTCATTCCTCCCCCACCCCCCCTCCCTCACCCCTCTCCCCTCTCCCCACAATGCTCTCGTTAACTGGTATGTGCTGTTTACAGTTTATAACCGAAAACAGTTCTCTCAAAAGTGCAAATTGTTGGAAATTGTTGAATATCACTTAATATTATTACCTTATCCAATTAGGTAAGTCCATTCTAAACCTTGTCTGGTAATAATCAAATGGAAGGCCTTTTATAAGTCTAGAAGAAACCCAAGTCCCTCGTCTTGTACTAATGAACACCCTACGTGCATGTCGACTTAGCTCGCATGCTATGTCTCCGGCGGAGTTTCCGAGCCCTATGGAAAAAAAAACAAACAAACAAAAAATGAACAGTAAATTATGAATATGAGCATGGCTAGTGCGACTTATATGGAGGTAGTGATGGTGCCGTGTGTTATGTAATCCGACTCGACGAAATGTCATCAGCCGTATTTCTCTGGCTAGCTCTGACATTTGCATTTGAACATCTAAGGGAGGGTCCATTTAACTTTTGAGGGGGGAGGGGGGGAGTAAAATCGCTGAAAACGATACCCTGGTTGGCGGCACGTCACCGTATAGCGAATATAGGGGATATATAATTCGCGTTAAACTTTGTGTCGTAAAACGTTAGTATATTTTATTATTTTCTTTTTTCGTAATTTMAAATAAGAATTCTTACCTACAACGAGGACAACTTTGTTTTCAAAACCTTTGAAAGTCTTGTAGTGATGACTGTGTAACACACGACCTTGAAAACTATCCAAACCTGGAAAATCCACCCATCGAGGAACAGTTAAATGTCCAGTGCAGACCAAGACGGCATCGAAAAGTTTCTGTTCAATACGACTGTTTCCATCGGCTGTGTTCTCGTATGTCACTTTCCATTGTCGTTCTTCTCGATGGACATCCACGATCTTGCAAGAAAACCTTATATGCTTGATTAAATCAAAGTGGTTTGAATACAAACGAAAGTACTGAAGCATATAATCATGGCTCATAAACGGAGGGAAGTCTTTAGGCATTGGAAAGTCAGAGAAGGCATTCTTCTCCTTGCTTGTATTGATAATAGTAGATTGATATATAGAGCTATGGCTCGTCTCCTCGGAGTACAACCACATTCCTCCAATATCATCGTTTTGCTCAAAACACTCAGGCTCTAAACCCTCATCTAAACAGCTTTTGATAGAAGAAATACCGGCTCCTCCAGCGCCTAGAATTGCAACCTTCATGATGTCGAGTCGAGGAATAGTTACGACACAACAGGACACAATTCTCGAGTCCTTGGAGTCATGTGATTCCTAAGGGTCGTGACATTGTATATGGTTTCAGGGGACAGCTCTAATTGGGGATCAGGATTTCAGGATTTCAGGATTTGGATCGGGATCACAACTAATGGGATCGGGATCGGTTATAACCTGAAAAACRTTTTCGGGATCAGCGATCAAATTTGGGATCTGTGACCGGAAGTTAGTCGTTCCGGGACCGGAAGTTTGTCCGCATGGGATCATCAACGAAAGAATCATGGGCATCCTGTCTTTTTCTACTTGCCAAGGATGACTTGGGGTGAGGCTACTGAGACATTGTGGCTGTCCGGCGACTAGGATTTTTTAGTGCGGATTTGTGTGTCGCCTAATACGGAAAATGATTGCCGATTTAAGGCTGGAGCCAGTTTAAGCGATTTKTTTTCCGCGTATTGTTCTSTCGCCTGCTGATAATTATTCAATACATGTCATGTGAACAATGATTACCGATATTTGTTTTAATGCTCTACACAGAACTCTAATTTGTCAGGACTTCCATAGTTCTCATTTGACAMGAGATTTGGCCTTGAACGTCCTTGAACTAATGCGCTTTTATATCATAGGCGGATCAACTCTGGAATGACCAAAGGTGAGCAGGGAACCAGTCAGGGGTCTACTACTTAATGACTTTGATATTTTGCACGTATATGACTTCTACGTATCCCTAAAAATGAAAGCATAGCAAAGGACTTTCTTATATTATATTGAATGTGCTAAGATAACAGCTAAAAAGTTAATAGATCTAGCAGTATATAAGGTTTTGTTAAATTGTTTTAGAGACATGAACTTCAAACACCTTCTGCGTCAAAGCTCTAGCAAAACATTGTCGTTATTCTCATATCTACATATCTTTAAAGAAACGTACGTTGGTGGGCAAACAATATTTAAAGTACCCCAAAAGATACCCGCAGATCCCTGATTTCACTAACAAACAACCATCTCCCTCACGGTAAGATCAGGTGTCTCTATTTCTTTATATKCAAAGCATGTTACAGATAATGAGTTTTACATGCATGCAGGTTCTCAAGCTATAGTTTTAAGCTCGATTTGTTGTCACTGCTGTACGATATTTGTAATCATAATTGCCTTTCACTGATTATAAACGAGTATTGATTTCAGGGGATTTCAGGCTCACCGTTTGTCACTACCGGGCGTGGCCTGTGGATGGATTGCTCAAGAGGTTTGCTTTTTCTCGTTTGTCATTGCATGCAGTCTACCTGATATTTGATGTTAACAATACATTAAGCTACGGCAGGTCTAGCCACATATTAAATAAAGCCCATTGACAATCATTTTGAAAAACACTAGCAATTTTCATTTTAAAAATTAAGAAGCTATAAATGTGCACGCAAAGGGCGAGTGTGAGTCATTACGTGTCACCTCCCTGATACTTAACCTGCTAACAGGCGTTTCTGCTGGGCTACACTGATCTTGTGTGTTGACGCGTGGGTCCACCGTGGGTCAGGTTCGATACACCTTATTTGACGATTGCCATAAAGGGAAGGAACAACTATACTTTTCCCATCTATACTGTTATACAGTGTTCTTGCAYGATATTTTTCAAACATTTGAGAGCTTTGCATTTTTGCGGCTATTGTGATTGACAGACTCCAAAGTCAGCCATTCCCCTCCTCAAAACTAATGTCAAATGCTTGTCAACTAGCTCCTTAAMTACAACCTTCGTAGTAGTAAGAAAGTGTGAGGCATTGCATGTGGTCGACCGTAGTGCCACTGACTCCATCTCACAAAATGGTCATTAAACTTTTTCTAGCGTTAGCTTTCTTGTTGAAAACAGTAGACAGCGCTGAGAAAGGTAAGAACTCAAAACCCTTTATTAACAGAAGAAGCACTCCGGAAATCATACAACATTCGCACTAATGAAATATAGTCTTTTAATGGTTCCTTTATTTTTTAAGTTTGTCTTTCTGTCTTGTTTAGAATTCACTTGACCTGTTTTTGTTTTCTACTAAATTGGGTATGTTCCATCTCTTGAAGTCCACAGAACAAACGTCGGCCGTCAAACTTTTTTGAGCTCGCGAGATTCTAAAGCCTCGCCGAAGGTTTTTTGGCCAATTTTTAATCAGTAAGGAGTACGACCAAAGCTTCAGAAATATTTGCCTACCAGAATTAAGTATAGAATTTACTGAATTGACGACTGTCCATCAGGTTGCACTATACAGAAAGCATCTTGCTGCTGAGCTACAATGCTCAGAGAGCATAAGAATACACAAGCACTAAAAATATCGCGTGATAGATTGTTGAAGTGTTCAKTTATTGCATTTAGTCATGACATACAAGTTAGTTTTGTAGTTTTATTATTTCCCTTAGGAAATGCCAAAGAAAGTACTTTCATGATACTAAATAGATTTTGATTTTTGTTCTTGTATGAATTTCGCTATGTAATTTTGAATTCCTGGAAGTATTAGTACAAAGATTTGTCTAGATTAACATGAATGAAGCKATTTATCATTTTCAGGCTGTGTTGCTAACTGACAAGCTTTAGTTTAGCTCAAGTACTTAATGGTGATCAGATAAAAACCCGCCCATGAAGCCATCATGATATCAATGTTTTTTTTTACTAAAGAATTAAAATATATATACACATTTTATAATATATAAATCTAGTGGAATTAATAACAATCAAGAAAAAACAATCTAATTCATCTCAATCATAAGTTTTGTTGCCCTTTTGCAAGTCTTGCGATGTAATTTCCAAAGGAAATCTGCAGAGTTTCAAAAGATATKGAAATGAGAATTGTATATCTAACATTTTAAAACTTTTCAAAACTAAGCATGAAAGAAATGAACAAAATCATCCTTCTGTGATCTTACACTAATCTCGCATGCTTGCTTKGAAGAGGTCAAGTGCATCTTGCATTGACACGATATTTGTTTTGATCAAATTAAGATGGCGTTGGAAGGGCGGAGGGAGTATCCTTGAGTAGGTGTCTTGAAAATTTCCGGGATGCAATGCAAGCTAATCATTCAGCAACCAAACTTTAGTGTGTGTGGAAAAGCGGTATAATATAATCCACGTTATTGGACATATATATTAAATATTCAGCTCCGTGTTCGTCTGCAACACTCGGATGAAAACACTGAATGTAGATCGTTATTTTGCTTTGATAAAAATCTTTCAATAGATTYTTGTTATCAACTTTAATTTTGACTTATTGCGTACTAGATTTCAGAATGCGTTTCTTGCATATTTCGGTTTCGCATTCACTTTGATTAGAATCTGTCAAGGTCTCTGCAAAGCTGATTTCAGCATATCAAAGAATATTGCCTCTGAAACGTTGTCCTTCGTTCGTTTGGCAGCCATATATGGTATCTTACCTTATTTGGAAGTACTGGTTTTTGACGATTTTCTCGACTTTTAAAGCTTGAAATCATCTAAAACTTGCAGATATTATAGCGAAAACACTTCTGGACAATCGGCCGCTCATATTGTACATATTACATATTTGGCATATATTTGCTAAAGGGAGCCCAGAAATTGAAAGGTGTCGTTATCAATTAATTTTGTTTTTGTTTTTCTATTCGTTTAACAGTTTGTGACAAAAAAGCAGACGTCGCTATCTTACTGGATGCCTCGGGGAGCATYGGGAAGAAAAATTGGCCATTTGTAAGAGGTTTTGCAGAAAGGCTTGTCAGTAACTTCCAAGTCTCCCCAGATGGAARTCATGTAGCACTCATCGTTTATGACACGAATAATCAAATCGTGATGAATTTTAACAGCCTTCAAGGCTCATCCCTAACTGCTGACAACATCAATAAAARGATTTCCGAAATAGATTACCAGCAATGGAAGAAAAAAACATTTATAGATCGAGCCCTTGATGTTGCTAACAGGGAGATTTTCGTCCCTAAAGCTGGCATGAGAGATAAAACGGTTCCAAAGGTAAAACTGTTTTTTGTCAATGAAGATTTATTTTGCATGAGCTTAACCGAGAACACTGTTTTATTCCCTCTTGCCATCTTTAGCTTCTTATTGTTTTTACTGACGGCAAGCAAACGAGAAACGATGGGCCTTACACACCGCTTAGTGAAGCTTCACAGCCAATAAAAGACAAAGACGTGAAAATCTTTGCAGTTGGTGTGGCTTCTGCTAGTCGAGTTGAATTGCGAGAAATAGCCAGTAGTTACGACGATATATTTATTGTGAAATCATTCAGCGAACTGGATTATGCTGCGAACAAAGTTCTGAGGGTTGCATGCAGTAAGTTTGTAAGATATGAGAAATAAATAATCTTAATGTCACACTATGATCCCAGTCAATTTGTCAGTTGCTCTGAGAATGATCTGTCGAATTCGCTACTTATTATCATGACCTGCCTATCTCATTTTTAATCATTTATTTATTCCCTTTTTTTCTTCTTTTTTGYAGAGAAACCGTTGCGAGTGGTAAGTATGTTTCCAAGCAAGTAATTATATATGCACAGCTCGTTTCCCCCTGTTTTCCCCAGTCAATACTAAAGCACAAAAGCCCCTTGATAGTTCATATTGTTGGTGGAATTGTTAATATTTTGTTATATTTATGGCTTTGCTGTATTTAATTATGCATGGTATGGAAGGTATTATTCATTATAGTGTCATTTTATGATGGTTAASTGACACTAGCCCATTGATGTAACGCATTTGATAATGTATATGCATGTGTCAAACTGTTTCCTTATCATGGTTCTCTCTGACAGCAATCGAGTCAGTTTATATCACTTATTGACAATAATGGCCAGAATTCTAGAAAACGTCCTGAGAACGACGATAAAGGAATACTACGCGCCATGCATGGAGCACAGCATTAATGAGCTGAACTGTATGAAATAATGATTGCATTTTAGGTTGCTACGGCATGGAGGTCCTAAATGGTAACACATGATATGCGAGTTAGGTAGACATCAACGTGTCTTACTTCAGTTTTTCAGATTGTTTTTTTCCACAGCTATCAGCTGGTGCCTGACGTATAATATGCAGATAAACTCCTGACAATACTGATGTACAGCCTTTAGCGAAATCAGCATTTTGTCACAGTCTTGATCATTAAACATCGCCGCCAAATTTAAACACAATCATTCTAATAACGTTKTCACGACAGTTCGTGACGATATACCAATGGTTGTTGTGTAATTTAAACATATGAAAAATACTAAAAAGTTTAACTGAGTTATCAGGCAACTGYGACTAAAAATCCCCTTACTTTACAATGCCTACCAACTAAATGAACACAAGAGCACTACTATCCCAAGTCTATTTTTATTCCATTTTATCCCAATTATTTGATATGTCCCGGATATTTTATACCAATAGGATAGGGCTTCAGGTGATCTTAGCCCTTATCTTGGTGGTGTGTGTGGTGGTAGTGGCGGGAAACTAGGTGGCAAAACTGTAAATAASAACAAATAAAATGAGTATTCTACATGTTCTCACATACTTTGTGATGTGTTGGTAAGGTGTATACAAGTGTCACTTATTATACTCRATCAACCGACAACCAGAAAACCCATTAGCCAGCTAAACAACCATACACTGGCTAACTAACTAATCAATCAYACATCMATCCWTTCAACATYACCAACAACTAACCAGCCAGTCAAACAATCAACCAAAAARCTACCCTACCATCCAAACAACCAATCAAGAAAACCAACCACGCAACGTCCTTGCATTGCCACTTACTGCATTTAGAACAGCATTGTCCAGGAACTTGTATTTCCAACATTCCCGGAGGGCATGGCAGACAGGGAAAGGCAATTCCACATTTTGCGATTCCATCATTACTACATGTACATTTTGAACACCCAAAGCCATGTTTGACGAACCAGCTGGAGCCTTTTGGCATAGTCTTTCCATTGTGGTAGCAATCTGAAAGGATATSAGTTAGTTTCGTTCAACATTATGGGTTTGATTTTAACCAAATTGATATATGAACACTTTGATACTTCGTGAACACTTGAAAGATCAATCAGAATTTTTGGGACGTTTGCTGGCTCATGACAACCTCAGCAAATGTGAGAATATTATTATACCTTCAAAACTAATTCTTAACTTTTGATTATTTTTGATAAATTGAGGGATGATATAATACCAGTTCGATATTCTGTTTGGTATTGCGCAAAAGAACTCAGGAAGACGAGGGTCCAGGAAAACAAAAGGATTATCTATAGTGTTTCCTGGAAGACTTGGGGGCATAATTTCGTCCTAAAGCGACTACTAGTTAAACCACTTGATAAATATACTTTCATCACTAAAAAGCTGATCAGCTATACTAGCTTTAAATTAATATAGTTMACCTACCACATACTGGACAGCATTTACCAGGGACTGCCTTGTATTTAGAACATCGGGGAACGTATTTCGATGGCGGAATAAAGCAAATCCTTTCTCGGATACAATCACGCGGTGYACCATGTCGACCAGAACACTTACATACCTTGCACGTAAACATGGGGTTATCACCTTGAGGCAAATCATTTGAAATGAAGATGGTATCATTGGCATTGTAGACAATTCCGTCGATCTTACACTTTTTCGGTACTGGTGATTACAAGATCGTTATATGAGYATGTCATCGTAGTTTACTRTTCGTCATTACAATATCAATATTCYAATTTAAATGCAATCATTTSCAAAACTTCTGAACGCAACTGTATATCATTATATCGAGTGCATCTGCTTGTCAATTTAACTATTCAGACTAGTTCAAACATTCCGCTGATAAAAACAATAAACAAAATAATAAATCAACGGATTTTCTCTTGTCTGACGCTCGACGTCTCATTATTCAACTTACCGCATTTACCACAGACTTGGCCAGGCTGAGGTACTTCGTCCCCATCACAAAACGGACAACTTATTTCACTAGCGTAAGCAATTCTGTCATTTCCACAGTTCCACCTATACCTGCGATCGAATAGTCTGTCTTCAGCCACCCAGCTCGAACCTATTGGCATTTCCTTTCCATTGTGGTAGCAGTCTAGAAAATCAGAAAAATATTCAATGTTAAAAACTCTGAGAAACGTCTTTTTTGACCACGCATATACCGTTACGGCAGCCTACTTGGTCGCTAGCTGTTACCTACCACATTTTGGACAGCACCCATCGGTGACATTTTTGAATTTGGAGCAGGTATGATACGATACGTGGTCATATTCACATGCATAGTAAGCTGAGCAGTACATTGGATCGTGGCACGTATTACACCTCCTACAGTAAGCGTTGAGAAGAGG